CGAGATAAGAGCAAAGCATTATGAGCATTATGAAATGGTTCGGTCTGCAAGGGTATTAAATCTTCGTTCTTGGTTAAATGCATGCATTCATTCTAGCTGGTGTTCTTCTCTCAGTGTACGCTTGTTGCCTTCATTCTTAAATGTTTTTTCTTTTTGCTTTTCTTTCTGGTTAATCAATATTTTTTGTGTTTCTGATCTAAAGTTGGTTGTAAGTTCCTTCATTCTCATTAATTTCTCTCAGTGTACGCTTGTTGCCTTTTGTGTGCCAGCGGCAGCGGCAGTAACAACAACAGACCGACACATCCAAACATTCAACATTCAACATCCGCCTTCGCAGTCGGCGTCGCAGTCGCAGTCGCAGTCGGCGTCGCCGTCGCAGTTGTCTGGCCAGCATTGCAAATTTCTACATGGCCGCTCAACTGAAAATTGTTTGTGCAGTTTTTAATTTTTTTTTAACATGTTTTGTTGTTGTTGTTGTTTTGGGGTGCCTGTTGTAAATTGCGATTTCCCGTTGGTTAGGTATTCTTTTTTATTTTTTGTATTTTTGTTTTTTTTTTTACGGCATTTATTTATTATTTTAATTATATTATTTTAATTACAACGTGTAATCAATGCAAAGCGCCCGGAGCGTGTAAATGATATGGATGATGTGCTTAATGTTAAATCGGTTCATTAAAATGACAAGTTAAACCATAAAAAACCACTCACGGTTCGCCAGACACAGTTGTAAATTTAAAATCAAACAAATACGTATATACCCATATATATTTCATTTAATCGCAAGATATATTAATGCTAATGAGGTCAATAGCAATTACTTAATAATTACTTTGATTCCAGCAATTATTTATATCAGTTGTCAGTTCGAATTTAAACGAATATTTATCACTTTGTTTACAAAAATTTTTAAAATAAAATAATAAATATATACAATGAATGATCTTTAAAAATATAAGAAGAAAAATCGGTTTTTAAATGCCCTTTTTTCATCTGGCTTAAAAATAATATTATAGGAAAGTGTAAAGTTTAGTTCCGACCGATTATTCACAGGGAAGTCTTATAATAAAGTCCGATGCGACTTTGCAAACAGTTGATAGTCACAGATAGAATAGAAGCTCCAAATTAGATATCTTAACATAAAAGATTTCCATACGAATACTCATTTCACGCCAGATTGTTTCAATAGAAAATTATGATATATATAATATAAGTAATAGTCCAATTTTTACAGGGAGCCTCCAGAAGGGTATAAAATCTCATAACAGACTCTACATTACAACCTTGACGATGATTCAAAAGTGAAACGAATTAAAAAGTTCCGCTTTTAAAATAAAACCTTCCTTATGTATATATATAGATCAAATATGTTGACTTGATAATGCAATCTTTGTTATTCTTGTATTCTTTGAAATAATATAGAAAATGAAGTCAAGAAAGCGAAAGAAATTGGCAATCAATTAAGATAATAAACATAGATGAAATATTCATATGCTTCACATGAAAATTATATTCAATTTAAGACCAGAAACTAAAGCAAATCCCAAAGCTAACATTTCAGGCTATTGTTCGGCCCAACCCGGGGCTTGGTTTGTGGTCAAGAAAAGCCTTTAAATCAAATTACCAGCAAACAAGAAAATTTCTTGTACACGAATCGGGGGTCAGGAATGCAAATTCTCAGCGCCGAATTGTGGGGAGAGAGGGAGGGACGCAGGGAGGGATGGGACGGGACGGCATTTGTTTATTGGTGTAACACGGCATGTTCCCTTTTCGGACATGAATATCTTGAGGAAAAAGACGGAAGTTTGATTTGCTAATGAAGCGAAAGGATGTCCTGCTGACTGTAAACTTGTCCCCTGGCAGTTAACGGACCGCATACACGTTTGCCCAAAAATATATTGGCCAGAAAATCACATTTGATTTGTTGTTTTTTGGCGACTCTTCGGAATGCCAGGCACGTTTGCGTGCCCTGCCACAGGACATTGGCAAACCATGTAAGGTGTCCTTTTGTTTGTCTTTCAGACATTGCAGCCGTCAGTTGTCAACTCGTCAGACTTGACTTGTTGCATGCGTCAAGTGACTGCCAGGACATGCCAGGACAGCTGCCCCTCGTGTGATGTTTAAATTAAATTTTAGCGGCAATTCCAGCTCAAGCGCCAGCTAATCCATGTGTTTTGCTCTATGCCGGAGGCTTCATTATAATCAACCTGACGCCAGTGCCAAACAGCTTTTGTTGCCATTTCATTTGCATGCGATTGCCATCATTTTCCGCCAGCCATACGAAATATATTTACTCAGCCATTTGACTCAATAATAAGCATGATTGTTTATTTGAAGCTGCGCCGCAGCCCGCATCCCGCCAACCGCCCCCCTTTTCCGCAGCCCGCTCTTGAATGCTTTTTATTAAATTGCAGAAGCAACTGGCAAAATTTATTGCAATTTTTTGTTACTATATGTATATTTTACTGAACGTCTTTGGCGCTAACCTTCAACCGTTAGCGCTGCCATTAGCTGGAAAGCCTCGCTGGCAGCTGGCCCGCCCCCTCAGGCAGACTAACGCCCTCCTGTCTGCTTTTGTTTTTGAAGTAGGCAACATTGTGCAAGTGCAAGGCGAAAAAAAAGCTGAAGAAATAACATGGGGAACTTAAGTAAACATTAATTTACATAACTTCTGTGCAAATGACGACAACGGGCAGCGGCGACGACGACGACGACGACGACGACGTTGACGTGGGCGGGCGTGGGCCACACGATGCCTGGGCACTGAAACAGAAGCCGGATCTGGGTCCGGACGCAGGCGTCAGAGCTCTTGTAGCCCGGCGTTATTAAAAAATTTAAAGCATGTTTTGCGGCGCGGTGCGGCGCAGGACGCGGCGGCAGGACGAGCGCAGAGCGCTTGAAACACTGGCAATATGGCTCTGCTTAGTTGTCAACGCCCCAACTTGTGTGTGCCTGTGCGAGTGTGTGTGTGTGTGGGTATGTGTGTGTGTATGCTGGGCTGTTTGTGTTTGTGATCGACTGCGCACATAAGCAAGCAGCGTGCTTCTCTTCTTTTTTTTTTCATTTCCTTGTAGCAGCAACCGGCGATTGTGTCAGAGAAGTGCCAGCGTCTGTTTTCAATGTTGCCAGAGTCATTTCCTTTTGTAGCCACTTGTGTGTATGGCAATTGGAGTACGGGCAAGAAGCAGACTTTAGCATGCAGCCAACCAGACGAGAGAATGCGCTACAGGGCCACAGAATGTATGTGTGTAAAATAGGGCAGAAGAGCTGTGTGTTGGTTGCATTATATCGTTCGAGATGTTGAATATAGAATAAGGCTTCAAAAGCAAATAAATATAATGTAGCCAAGGCTGAATTATTTATACATAAAAGAGTATTCTTCGTAAGCTTTCTTTTGGGTTCGAAAGTGAGCACTAAGATCGATTTTTGGACAGTTAGACGGTTGTCAAATCTTATATGAAACACTTCAACTGGAAGTCACACAAAAAAGCTTTGCATATGTGAATTCATGAGCCTGCGTGGCTTAGTTATCTAAAAGTTGAGCTGGCAAGCGCTAGGTCGCTGGTTCAAACTACCTATATTAAGACAGAATTATGATATTTTCATAACCACATCATTAATACAACAAAATAAGCATATCCTAGATACAACATCTATATGTATCTATTTGTATTTTTTTACCAATATATTTTATATATTTTTACCAATTATCAACTTTTTTTTTGTATTTTTACCATTTGTATAACTTGAATTTACTTAAAATTGTAATCCATTTAACATGCCCAAACATTTCTAAGCCCATAAAAATACCCTACACAAGAATTAATCAAGCGACTTACAATGACAGCGCATATTATTTTCTTCTTTGTGTCATTACCAGAGCACCAAGTCGCATAGTCCCCATTCCGTCCCAAACCTCAACTGTCCCCTCCCCCTCCCTCTTCCCACTCCACGACAAAACAGGCAGCAGCCCCACCCATGCTCGACACTGCGCAGCTTAGCGAAATTGTTTGCGAAAATACAACACAATATTCAAGAATAATGATGACATTGTTGACTTCAGTACCCCGCGCGTCATATAAAAAAAACGATGAGGAAATGGAACCCCACATAACCACAAGGACATCTTCCGCAGGATTAAACGCCCTAAACGCCCCGCTTCAGACACTGCAACGCCCTCTAGCTGAGGGAGAGAGCGAGAGAGAGAGAGGGAGAGAAAGAGAGAGAAACAGAAAGCGCAAAGTTAGAAAAAAACGCAAACACAATTACCATATTGTATGATATGCGGCTAAAACCGGAACGGAACTGAACGGAACGGAGTGGAATGGAACCGAAGGGCGCCACGTCGCCCGCTTGGCAAACAAACTTTCGAAATATAAATTGAAATGAATTGAAGTTATGGCATTAGACAGTTTTCAAAATTATCATGTGACATGCAGGCACAAGACCAGGGAAATCGCCCAACTTCAACTTTTATTTGAATTTGCATTTAGAATATGTTGCATACTCTTAAGCGCAGAGCTGCCAAGTGTCTATGGGCATCTATGAAATAAAGGAAAAGATAAAGGTAACGATTGTTATCTCGAAGCGGATCCGGGTTCGTATTCCGCATATGGGATATAAGATTGTCTTACCTGAAGGCCATTATTTAAAATAAAATATGGAATTTTTTATAGGGATGATGATAATGATAATGATAATGATAATGATAATGATAATGATAATGATAATGATAATGATAATGATAATGATAATGATAATGATAATGATAATGATAATGATAATGATAATAATAATAATAATAATAATAATAATAATAATAATAATAATAATAATGATAATAATAATAATAATATTAATAATTATAATTATAATAATAATAAAAATAATGTTAATATTAATGATATTAACAACAACAACGTTATCTTAACCCTCTTTATAGCACTTATTTAAATAAATCTTCATAAAACTCGTGAGCAACTAAAATTTATTTGACAATATCCTTAAGTTGGTGAGATAATTTAAATTTATTTATTTTTTAAAAATAGGGTTTTATCTTAGTCATAAGAAATTGATGTGAGGAGGTGAAGATCTAAATTCTAGGCTTAAGCTAACGATCCCATCAGCTGAGCCTCATTCTACCAGCTGAGCTCCTCGGGCAGACCGCCCGGATATTCCCCGGTGAGGCAGGCGGTGCAGTAGCCGGACTTGATGGGATTCACGTGCGTCTTGTTCATCTGCACCGCCTTGATCAGGCCCTCCACGCTGAGGTAGGCCAGACTGTCGGCCCCGACATGGTTGGCCAGCTGCGTGGCGTTCAGCTTGTTGGCAATGAGCTCCTCGCGCGTGGGTATATTGATGCCCATGTAGCAGGGATACTGCAGCGGCGGGCTGGCGATGCGGATGTGCACCTCGATGGCGCCGGCATCGCGCAGCAGCTTAATGATGGGACCAATTGTATTGCCACGCACAATCGAGTCGTCGACGAGCACGATACGCTTGCCCTCCACGTTTTGGGCCAATGCGCCAAACTTCTTGGCCACGCCCAGCTGGCGCAAACGCGTCGAGGGCTGGATGAAGGTGCGTCCCACATAACGATTCTTGCACAGAACCTCGCCAAAGTTCAGGCCCGACTCGCGCGCATAGCCATGAGCCGCCGCAGTGCCTGACTCCGGCACAGAGCTGACCAGATCCGCGTCCAGCGGCGATTCGCGTGCCAGCTGCCGGCCGCACTGCAGCCGCGCCGAGTAGACCATCTGGCCCTCAAACATGGAGTCGCTGCGCGCAAAGTAAACATACTCAAAGATGCAGAAGGCCATGCGCTTGTAGTCCGGCCGCTCCACAATGTCCACGGTGCGATAACCGTTGCGCGACAGTTCGATAATCTCGCCCGGCTCCACTTCGCGAACGTAGCGCGCGCCAATGGAGAGAAAGCCGCAGCTCTCGCTGCTCACCACCCAGCCCTCGGCTAGCTGATCCTCGATATTGGCATGGCCCGCATCAAAGGGCACAATCTTGCCCAGACAGAGCGGCCGATTGCCATAGGAATCGCGCACAGCATAGATCTTGTCCTTGTGCATGACCACCAGCGAGTAGGAGAGCGGCGCCAGCGTCATGAAATGGCGTATGCGTGCCGGCCAATTGGGTCCGTCGTGCTCCGAGACATCCTCCGGCGCACAGCACAGCGACTGGGCAATCAGCTCGCTGTCGCTGTGCGTAGACAGGCCGACGCCCCGTTCGAGCACCTCGCGACGCAGCGACTCACAGTTGACCAGCTCGCCGTTGTGGGCAATCGCCAGCGCACCGTGCGCCGTGTGCACCACAAAGGGCTGGCAATTGACCACCTCGGAGGCAGCCGCCGTCGAGTAGCGTGTGTGGCCAATGCCCAGATTGCCCTTCAGCTTCCGTATGGCCTCGTCATTGAAGATGTTGTTGATCATGCCCATGCCCTTGTGCACGCCAAAGTTCTTGGAGCTCTTGCCCAGGCTGGTCACAATGCCCGCCGACTCCTGGCCGCGATGCTGCAGCGCCACCAGGCCCAGGCAGATCATCTGTGCGATGTCCAGCTGCAACAAACAAACGGGAAGCGAAAGAACATCAGATATTTTTGTGTGTGCATGCATTCGATTTCCTATGCCCAATGCCCAATGCCATGGCAACAGCTGACAAGCTGACGACCGATAATGGCTTGATCTCCCGATTGTACACACACACGCATTTCCCTGTTATTTTCCATTTCATTAAAAGCAACAGCAACTGCAACTGATTAGAGGCAATTACAACCGCAGCGTGCCTCGCCTTTCATTGACGTCATCAGTAGGCGTTGCCATAGCCGTTGGGCCGACGAGGCGAGGTGCTCTGCCAGCTGATGACCTAGTTGCGATCAGCTTACATTGGCGAAGGTTTTCACACTGATCGTCGCAATCACGTGATCGACGAGCTTGGGAAAATCGAACCTTTATCAATTGTTTGTCCGTCTAAATATATAAATCGAATGATGCCAACCAGGTGATCGAGTGCGAGAGTCGAAGTAATCACAAAAGGGTTTGTTGCTGACTCTTTCCACGATCTGTCCGGATCACGAGCTACAGTTCGGGAACAATCTATTCAGATAGTCCCTTAAGACAGTTTATGTCTATATGGAATAGTTCCTATTTGAGCTGAAGAAGTTGATATTTCTACAAGATAAAACCGATCGTTGATCGTTCTAAGCCAAAGATCCCTTGCAAGGATATCAAATACGATCCTTGCTTGACTCCAAATTTTGTATCCCTTTTCCGTCCACTTGTCCTTGATATCGTGTACACTCACCTGTGTAGGATAATCTCCACAGGCAATGGCGCCAAATACACCGCATTCGCAGGTCATGCCCGTCACATGGTCTCCCTTTGGCTGCACCGATTTGTAGATCTTATCGGGAAATACTTTGCTGGCAACAACTGTTTCCGTTGCCCGACTGCAACAAGACTCCGCTGAGCCAGCATCTGATGTATAAATATTTGCATGTTATTCGAACTGATCCGCCAACGAGCTCACATTGCATTTGGCTTACCACAGAAATTTCCACATTCACTTTGCGCCATGTTTATTATTTTTACACAAGTATATATATATATATATATATATATATATATATAATGTTTGACTGTGATCGTTCAGTGCACCCAAAATAGCCTCTGGCTTGATCTTGCTATATATACAAAGACACTTAACACTTGTCACGAGATCAGTTTTGTTTCGACTTCTGCTTTTCACGTCTGCATTGATTGAATGCCAGTGGAATTATGAGTGTTCAAGTTACAAGCGCGGCATATTAAAGCTTCAAAAATCAGAAACACCGATCAGCTCGGATGCATATATATATATACATATGTATGTGTGTATAGTACACATAATCGTAAATATATACAACATGAAGCTGATGCTGATAACTGCGTCGCTTGCAGTTTCGCGGAAGGTTCCCAACCGCAGCAGATCATTTGATACTGTTTTCAAGAGCCCATGCAAAACAATAACAAAAACAAACATAATACAAACAAACAATGATCAAACAAACAATGATCACATTCCTCAGCAAATTTTAATTGATCTGCAGCCCATCAACATTTCGGACCTCCATCGGACACATGTCTGATTAAATTCGAGGGCTTCGCTTGATTGCGTCGACATGTTTATATTACCTTGTCACACACGATGCCAAACAATTTTCCATAATGTTCTTGCATTATGCTCTTATCTCAACATTGTTGCGGCCTTATCAATCAGAGCGATTGGAAAATGCGTGCATTGACGCATTTTAGTTAGACGCAACGTTTTGCGTAAACAATAACACATTAATTATTTGTTTTTCTTTTGCAATAAATGGGCTGCACTATCAGGCGCAAGGCACAGGCCTCCCGCGAACTCGTCGCCGGTTGATCGATAAGTATCAATCCAAAGCGATTTCTCAGCGATCAGACAATTGTGTGAGCACAAAAGCAAGCCAAGATTTTGCATAGATATGCCAAAAACAGAATACACTTACTTAATATATTAAATGTAAGCTTAAATTTTAAAGAATATTTAACAGAAGTGACGAAAACTAATATACAAAACTAAATAATGTCTAAATTTAACAAACCATTTTTAACAATATGCCGCGCTCCAAATCTAAATACTATAAATATAGAAAATTCAATTATGTGTGCTTCAAGTTAAAGAAATATTTAAAAATTGATCATGAAATCGAAATACTCTTACTTAATATTCAAAATGCTGTAAGCTTTAATAACAAATATTATTTAAAAATAAAGTGACAATATCTAAATAAACTTATTGAATGTATACAAATATATAATGTGTATTTAAATTTAAAATAAAAAATACATAAATAAGTACGTAAAATTGTTATATAATATTGTTACAAAGGCCTCAGTCTAAATACCCTTACTTAATATAGAAAACTACATGAATAATTATAACAAGAATATATTAAAAAAAAGTGCCGAAATCTTTATACACTTTCCTATTATATAAATTTTAATTAAGGTCTCTTTAAATGAACTAATAATGTATCCAATTATTAATATTATTGTTGCAATGGGCTAAAAAACAACTTTTGACATTCAAATTCGTTTATCTATAGATTTATTTCAATGTTTGCAATAATATTAATTAGAAAACTAATTAGAAAACTTTCAAAAATGTTGCTTATTTAAGGAATATTATTTTGTCATCCCCGATTTTGAAGCTGTTTAATATTTCTGACTGAATACAGAATGTGAATACCTTAGAAATCTTCTCTACGATTTACATTTGTTTATATTAACTTTAATTTGATTTGTTTAAGGAACCCTAGTGAATGAATATACCTAACGTCTCTTCTAACTTCCTTAAGGCCCATTTGAAAACTGAAACTAATTCGATTTATCGCCAATTTGGAATAATCTATAATTAGCACGCGTGTGCATGTCTAATACGTATATTATTTATAAACAACTTGTTTATAGTTTGCCTGGCAACTTGTCAGACCGAACGATCCGATTATTGGAACTGATTTCGAACTGATGCAATGGATGCAACTGCAGCCATAACTGCCTGTTGAGGTTGCCAATTTTGATAAGCTCATTACAGTACCAGGCTTACATGGACAGTGCCAGTAGAAAGTATTGTAACACGCAAATATAATAAAAGTAGTTCAATTTGAATATTTGACCAGTTTCCGGTCACTTGCAACCACACATGAGCATGGTTGTATATAGCATGATTGACAATATATAAAGTAAAGCAAAAAAGTAAATGATTCAATATATATATATATATATATATATATATATATATATATATTTACATATACCAGGTACTCAATCTTATAATAATATAAATAAAAGTCTCTTTGAAGATAAGCGGAAGGAATATCATCACAGATGATAAAGGGCACATTCTAGCCTAGCCGTAGATCGATTCAATCCCAACGAATTGGATTTCTTTATGCTCCACAACCTTTTTCGCCTGTGCGACTTTTTCAGTGGGACACTGTCTGTACAGAGAGCATCCGAGCCAGACAAAAAGTGATGTTATTTACGAGTGGATTGCATAAGATCAGCGCAGCAAGTATTTAGCGAGGTCTAGACATAACAGGAACGGCTGTGCATGTTATTTAGTGAGAGCTATTTGCAGCACGCATTACCTTCTTCTATTATCAAAGACAAAAACAAACTTGCCAATAAACAAACAAAGCGCCGAGCAAGCAAACAAGCTGAGATAATAAGATGCGGCATAATGTGCAAATCAAATGATGACCAGTGTCCAGTGGCAAGTGGCGAGTGGCGAGTGGCAGCTAATGCCAGGAGGCGGGGGCGAAGAAAAATGACCAGCCAAATGTGGCAGCTTGGTTTGCCGAATGGGTTGGGTGGCTTGGTGGGTGGGTGGGTTGGTTTGTGCCACCAAATGTGTAACCACTTGAATTTCATTTGGCGAAAAGCTTTATCGAAAATTATGCGAACGCTGCTGACATTTGGCAAGTGGCAGCAGGCACCGCGGGTGACGGCGACTTCAGAGCTGCTTGCAACTCCCTCCAGCAAGTTCCAGCTAACTGCTTAGAAGCCTGATCAAAATCCAGCACACAAAACTAAACAAACAGATAATAAAGAGGAAAATGATGCTGCCAAACTGAACCGAACCGAACCGCAACGGCAATGCAAGAGAGGGAGAGAGAGGGGGGGGAGGGTTGGCTCGTGTGGATATTTCGCATATGTGAGACCCCCTCCCATGGACTGGCGTCCAGTTGCTAGTCGGGGATGTGCGCCTGGGTCTGGATCTGGACCTGGGCCTGGCCTCGGCTCATGCATAATTCAGCAGAATTCTGAATGATTATTCTTTATGGGACTGTTTATTTCTTTTGACCATTTATTTCAAGTTGTGCGTTGCTTTTTCTTTTATTTCATTTTTTTCTTTTTTCCTTACTGTGTCTTTTTCATTTCATTATTTTTATACAGTTTCCAGTTGCTTGCGCTCGAAATGATTTTGACCAACGGTGACGCAAAAATCATCAAATGGACTCGAACTCGAGTTCCACATTGCCTTGTGGCATCTGCGTTGTGGCAACTGCGTTGTCTATTCAACCAAAAAGTGCCACTCCCCTTCGGCCACTCAACCAGCCAACCACACATGACTGTCCATCTACCCCTACTCCCCCCAACCTCCCCCCTCCACTTCCCGCGCCTGTTCTCACCCTCCCTGACTGGTCTATTCCTGGCAAATGCCAATCCCGTGCCCTTCTGCAGCAAGTAGCCGCGGGGCTGCGGCGCTTTCAACGCATCATTTGATTTTATTTTATGTGCTCAAAGTGGCCAAAACAAAAAAAAAAAAAATATTGTAAAAATAAAAAAAGTTTTTATTTGTTTTTGTGTGGCAGCAATTGAATAAAATGTTCCTTTAATGTAAGTCGAAAGGGCACTTTTAGATATTGTTTCTCCTGTTGCCAATAGATATTGGCAATAGCCTGGCCAGATAGTCGTATCTCTGTGCGGTTTTTGCATGAAAATAACTTCATTAGGAAATGGCAAACCCATTTATATATATATAGATAGATAAAGGTGCGCTAAAGCATGGGAAACGTACAGAGATCATGTGAACTCTCACGCTTATCAGCGCAACGGACGATAAGCCCGACAAGTAGAACAGAAAGGAAAACAATTAAAAGTGCTTGAGCGGAAAATACTTTAACGCTACGAAATACCCTGTATATTAAACGCATGCAAGCTAAATTATATTGGGAAATATACAATATACAATATACACTATACCCATACAAACACATAAGGAATTTACAGTTTACATGTGTTTGAATTGAAATATACATCTAATAATATAAGAGATGAGTATAAAATGAGTATAAGAGTAGTATAAGATGAGTATATGTTAATACGCACTTACCCTTTATATACATATTCACTATGAAATATTTGTCATCTAATTGAAAGATGGGGCAACACTTTTATGTACACACACTTGAAAAAAAGCCAAAAAATAGACACCTCACTGAAAGAAAAATGAAAAAAGCAGCGTTTAGTAAAAACTAAAAAATAAATAAAAGAGTGACTGTGAAAGAGATGAGAGTATGAGCAGAGATAGATGTCTCACTGATTTTTGTCATCACATATGTATATAAGTATGTACACATATAACAAGAGCATGAAATGCATGCATACATACAAACATACATACATGCACACAAACAATTGAATATACGCGCAAGCATTCTAATAAACTGTCCCTAAAACTTGAAACTAATCTCTTCTCCGCCACTTTTTCATTTCGTTTTCTATTGCAACAGCAATTATTAAGATGAACAGCGAAAGCAACAACACAACGGCTGAGCGCAGAACGCAGATCAAAGAGAAGACTGAAAAAGAGGCGGGAGAGAGCAGTGCAAAAGAGTTATGCAACAACAACAAGCATGCAAGAGAGGCTTACCAACAACAGTTATTTCATGCAAATAAATGCGTAGCACACGACACACATTAAAACACTTTATATATTCACAAGCCCACAGCAACAACAAAAAACACTTTCCCGAAAGGCTAACACATTTATTAATATATTTATATATATATTAATGACTTAGAATAACACAACACTTGTTTAAACACAAATAATAATAAATGCGGAACGCACGAAAAAAACGCGTCCGTTTATCTTAACGATGGGAGAAAAATGAAAAAGAGATGGGGAGGCAATTTATAAAAATATCCCATTCGAATAAAAATTCCTTTATTAACGAAACCTCATATGCATACATACTTATCTATAAGAA